GTCACAGGTCACGTACTGAAGATCGAAGCACACCTAGCATCACGCCCGAGAACCGAAACGCTATCAACATCGAGCTGGATTCCTGCTGGATTCCTGCTCATAGAACTAATTACCTGGTCTATCAAGTTCTTGGCGGCCTTCGCATTGACGGCTACCGTGGCGTTCAGCTCATTTCAGGTGGTGTTGGGGAGGTTGACGAGAAGGCCTTGGGCAGCAACAGGTCGGTAGCTCTGGAGGCTGGAGTTGAAGTCCTTGTACACTTTAGTTGTCAAATTCGTCACGCGATCCTTGCACATGGTCACCTCCTTTCCTTGGATTTTGCTGGGAATGTAGATTCCTTGGGCAAACACGGCGGCCACAGCCAGACCGATGACGAACAATGTGGTCACCCATGAGGCGAACTGCTTCAAGAATTGGGTCCAGTTGACTTTCTTCGATCCCTCGAGGATACCCACTCCGATTATGGCTCCCGTGATGCACTGGCTGGACGAGGTGGGCAAGCCGAACTGAGAAGCGATCATAATCACGAAGGTTGTGGCAAGCTCGGCAGCGAATCCCCTGGTGGGTGTCAGCTTCGCGAGCTTCACTCCCATGGGTCTGGTGACATTGTATCCGTAAGTGGCCAGACCTATAACAAGACCGATGGCTTATCAGACCGAGGCTGGACATTCTTCGAGAGCTGACCCTTCTTGTACACGTCCCAGATCGTGTCCATGTATCCGAACTTACCGGCCCCGTGAGCGAAGATGACACAAATGGCCGAGAAGACCCCTAAAGAATACGGACTTGCAGGCGTAACTGGGAGTTATGCATAGCTCGATTTCAGCATGTCACATTGGATTCGGTGTACGTTTATCATTCGATTTAAAACTTGGCCATAATTTCAATTTAAACACATTCTTTTTATTCTAAAAACTAAACTGTAATATTGTTTTAGAATGAAAGATGAAAAACTACGATGTCTCATCTTTTGATTTTCTATGAAGGACTTGATAATTGATAATTACTTGCTATATATCTATGTACATCTAGTCTAAGTTCCAAACTCACCTCTCATACGTAACTAAGGAGCTATAGATGAGTTTATACGTGACTCAATGATTGAAGAAGTCTTCAGCCTTCTCTCTTTCTATATCTGATCATATTGAATCTTCTTTGAACTAGGAAGTCTGTCTTGCACTCCGGGTTTGGACGGGTGAAGTGAAGAAATGTTCTTCCATAGCCGCATACTCCAATTACTGAGATAATTCTTTTCAACACATAAGTGTACTAAATAACGTTCATTGGGCATTCACTATAAATTACATCATCATTCAAACTCATGTTCAAAGACAATCAGATTGGTGGTACTATCACGCATAAATTTTATCTAGGGCTCCCGCATAAATTACAACAAAGTCTTTGAGGTACATCAAAGATCAAATTTCATGCCTTATTCCACTACACGTGCATTTCCAGGTTAGAATTTTTCACGAACCTTCACAGAAGTCCAATCTGATACCAATAAATAATCTCCGCTATCGTGGTATAGTTAGGACACAGAAACACCTATAACTAATCATCATCACAAGCACTAACCTTTGAGTACAAGTTCGCAAGTAATGTCTATGAAAGGGGAAGATCTAAAATATTTGCATATCGAGTTTCACTTTCTTCGACACTCATAATGATTGACAGTCTTATTAATAACGCATCAACATAGATAACCTGCTTCACAAATAGATAGTGAAGATGAGAGTTTCAAAAAAGAAACACAAAAATCAAAATTTTATTGAAAAAGAACCAGCCCATTCCAGACTAACATGAACTTAAAATGGCATCCTAGTTGTAGAAAACGGTTTAGTCCAAGCGACATATATTTCGGTGAACTGATCTATTTTGAAACTCCTATAACTTCTCTTCGGACTTTCACTAAGTCTTCTTCTCTGATAGAATACCCCACCTCCTACTACAGATGTCTCTGCTGCTCTTTATTTTTTAGGGGAGTATGCTAATATGATCTTAATGAGTAGTCTATGTACATTGCTGCGGGCGCTGGAATTACTACAAAGCAAGGTTCGATGAAGACGTTCGGCTCGGATACCAAACATGATTTTCATAGTTTTTTGGATAAGGATGTGCGGGTAAAGAATCGATCACGTCTATTTCCGACCAGTATCTCGCCACCTCAAGGTATCGTATTGACCTTCATTGTCGAAAGCTTCCAATATGTCGAAGACGAAGAACACATCACTGCCTCCTGCACCGTACATTTGAAAGCTCTGCCATCCTCCCAATCCCATAGATCTCTAGTTCTCCTGATAAGAGTTTCATCTATTCTCCGGACCATTGGATGACGGAGGAAGCTTCCGTCATAGCTCCTAAATAATGCGAGTAAGCACACACGACCTTCATACGCAGTATGTGAAGGCCATCTGACTTGTCCTCCATGACCTTCCATCTTTCTTCGCTCAGATCAAATATCATAAGAAGACCGTAGAGCCAATACTTGCATCATAAAAAATTACTTGTGTACCGGATTTTGTGCCACAATTCCGGACCATCTATGAGATCCCTCCATTTCTTACAAACTGAACGACATTCCGCAAGAGTGAAAACTGGCAGATCGTGATCTCTGAGAACCTTAATCATTAATTCAACAGGTAAGGAGTCCCATATATCTTGAGGTCGATCCTCTTGTCTTTCGAGTTCCATTGCAACGAACGAGCTCTAAAGGATGAAAAAGCATGAATATCATCTATAAATCATATTTGGACATCTCAGAAGGGACAGTAATCAGTCGATTGCGATTATATCCGTAATCAAATCTCACCCTCATTGCAAATAGGCTCAGATGAGAAAGATCTTATGCTACAATAACCTCATATGTGCGATGTGTGAACGAGAGAAGAGTGGTAACACAGGAGAACAGATGATGGTCGGACAACGAGAGAAGTTCCTGTCATGTTCGGAACTCTTACGTTCTGGAATGGAATGTAAGAAACCACCACTGGTGATAATCAGCTTCTGTGTTAAACAAATTGAATGTGCTCATATATATGTAGGAGCAACGGTCTCAAACCCTAACCCTAAATCTTACACCTGAACCTAAGAGTACCAGTAGTGTTATTCTAACAGTGAACAAGGACTAGTGAGCGGGACTGTGAGTTATACGAGTGTTCATCCATAGGCGAATACTCCAGATGCTGAAAATTCTGAGAATTAAAAATTAGTGATTGTGATAAAGGTCGGAGAAGCTGAGGAAGTAGGTCTTAGAAGGTCCAACAGGTTAAATCTCAAGGCTTATATTCTAAGGTTTTTTCAATAGTAGCTCAGGTCTTAGACGCATATATATATATATATATATATATAGAGAGAGAGAGAGAGAGAGAAATTATTCGCACATTCCAGTAGCACTATAGAGAAAGTCATGAGATATACAATTAGTTTTGATAATAAATGACTACAACCGAAAGTGGCTCGAGTGTTCGTGTAAGAATGTCTGTGCTACTCGATCAAATGTACTTCCTACCATCAAAACTAGAGACTCTCTATCTCCTATTGAAATTTTAAACATCAAATTTTGGGTTTCTATCACTTTATTTTAATTAACTTGCATCTAATTTAGATTCACGGTCCAAGTATAAACAAAAGTATTAACCAACTTGGTCAATTCTTAGCTGTGGATGGGAACTGAATATTTTGATTCTTAATTTCAACACTAGAACCTACTGATAAGCTCAATCTCCCATGATTACACCACAAAGAATTTAAGACACTACTAGCAGTACGGATGGACAGAAAAACTTGAGAAAACTCATCCCATAACCCTCTGTATCTATTTCCTTCTCAGGAAAGAAATTGGTAGAATGAAGGATATCTTACAGTCAAGTTACTTCCTATTACAAGCACTAGCAAAGTTATTCTTTGTTAGTGCTTCATGATTTTCTCCGCCTCGAAATTTGCTACAAGCGGGGGTGATACCACTGACACGATTGCGACTAAAAAGTGGATAAGACTGCATTTTGGTTGTCACGTCATGCAGTCCTCTAGAAATAAAATGTAATCTGCATATTTCTAATGATGGTTGTAGACTGAGACATATGATGGAAGTTAGACCCACTGCTGTAATTGAACGACCACACTCTAAACAAATTAACTGTTTGTTTGAAATTTGTAGTCGAACTAGCTTATGAAGTTATTCTTCACCATTGCTTCACGGTGGAGGTAGCTGAAAAATAAAACCTAGGACTACAATGTTATTGAGCCAGTAGATTCTACCTTTATTTCCTTAATACTAGCTCAAGGGAAGCTGAGAAAAAATTTTTGTTCGTAACAGAGATTTGATAAGGTTACATAGTCTGAAATTATTTCTCATGTGTTTGAGCAGATATTCAAAGATTAATGCTGAGTAAAGACCATTTTTTTTATGGAATTCATCAACAACAATGACCATACACAAACAACGAATAAGAATGATATATTGAAATTGAATAGATAAAAATTACCTGAGAGCAGAGAAAGAGGTGAAATTCAGAAAGAGAATCCTCAACCAACGTGCTGGAAAAATTATGCTTTGATTTGTTTAAAAAACTTCACTTAATTGTCATATTAAAAAAAAATCTAATCATATAGTTTGCGCATAATTTAAATAAGGGAGGTCATGGTTGGCCCTATATCATAGGTTTAGCTTTTAAAGGGGGTTTACACAGAGCAGAAACTATTGATCACATTTTTTAAAACAAAAATCACGATTTATAAAATCTAAACCTCGATTTATCCGTGATTTGGAAAAACAAAACAAAAAAGGGAATCGGTAAAAAGATTCTGTATTTATCGATTTTCTAATAATACTTATCCAACGGTATCACATTATGCATCTTTTACACATATTACGATTTTGGAATATTCTATTTAGACTAACTTGGTCTTTGTACAGCACGAGGAACGGGTTCAAGTATGGCACGATTGCCAAACTTAAAACTTCGCACCACAAGTTTTACTTTAATCAGAGACCAGCCAAAAAAATCACATAGTATTGCAATAGTTTGGTAATTACACATATGTATCAATAACATTGTGACAAGCAGGAACATGCTTTTATCTTATTGTTCTTGAAGACGTTCATAGTCCTCTACCCGACGGAAGTTGAAGTGCGTAATTTCTGGCCGATGTATAAACTCATAACTAGAGCAATGAAGATCTAAGCTTCCAGCGTCCTCGACGGTTTGAACAAACTTGGCTCTTGAGAATATGTCAGCCAGTGCCATAGTTGTTGTCAATGAATCTGACACTGACTTGGTGAGTTTGGATCAGCACCCCCGTCGCGGTCCCTGAAGAGAACAGTTTAAATAGTTCAATCTACAGAGATCGCTATTCTCAATTGCTATCATCGTAAATGACATTGATCGCCCTATCAGTTCAGCCTACAGTATACTGGAGAGTTATGAATACTCCAGAAATGCAATTCAATTCATATCCTTGAACATCCTAGATTAATCAGGACTTCATGTACTTGAAGGATATTTTTATGCATGGTTAGGAACCGAAGGGAGAAAAACACGTTTGGCTCATCGGAAGGGGATCTGATTTTTTTTATTCCATCCTTCTAAACTACTTCGACATCATCATGCCTGCACACATCTAGTTGTTAAAATCCGTGCAGTCCAAAGACCTATATTTCGGTGAACTGATCTGTTTTGAAACTCCTATAAGTTCTCTTCGGACTTCCACTACGACCTCTTCTCTGGGAGAGTTCCCCACCTCCTATTACAGATCTCTCTGGTGCTGTGTTTTCCACTCCTGCTCTGCATTTACTCCGGGCGCTGGAATTATTGCACACCAAGGGTCATGGATGACATGCGGCAGAAATCCCCATAAAGAAAACTCATGTGCTCCGCGAAATGGAGGGTCGGGTAAAAATAACATCATGTCTATTTCAGCCCAGTATTTCGCCACCTCAAGGTCTTCACCTTCTTCCTCGAAAACGAAGAACACATCACTGCCTCCCGAAGCATAAATTTTGAAAGCTCTGCCATCCTTCATAACCCATAGATCTCTTGTTCTCCTGATCAGAGATCCATCCATTCTCCGGACCATTGGATGGCGGAGGAAGTTGCCGTCATAGCTCCTATGATCAAACTCCACATCAGTCCAGTCCATGGCGAGTAAGCACACACATCCTTCATACGCAACAATCTGAAGGGCACCTGGCTTGTCCTCCATGACTTCCTCTGACAAAACATTCCATGTTTCTTCTCTCAGATCATATATCAAAAGAGCCTTCATCGTGACCCTGTTATCCCATACGAGCCAATACAGACATCCATTACATACTACACATCTCCCACTATGCCACTCTACTTCCATCGAGTTCAGCAATGTAGGAAAGGGATGAATAAGCCACGACCATGTACTGGTAGTCGTATCGTAGATCAAAGATCTGTGTCTATCTGGTATTAGAACTCCTCCCAAAACCAGCTTGAAGTGTTTTGTTGATTGGTCCACAACTAAACCCACCACGATGCACTCAAGCATACCATCGAAGACTGTAGACACTCCATCGATTTCATGAGGTACGTTCAAATTCAGGAATTTGTCCTCAACTGGGTTATACATGACATATTCGGTGGACAACAGGTCATTGAAACACAGTAGGCCTCCATGAGCAGCCACCACCTGCTTGGGCCCAAATGTAATATTTCTTTTGATCCATCCATCACGGAAGCAGAAGTACGCCGTATTGTCAATACATGCATCATAATACAAAATAACAGATTTATTCCAGATTTTGTTCTGTAACTCCGGACCATCTATGATTGCCTTCCATTTCTTACAAACTACACGACATTCCGCAAGAGTGAAAATTGGCAGATCCTGATCTCTGAGAACCTTAATCAGTAATTCAACAGGTAAGGAGTCCAATAGATCTTGAAGTCGATCCTTTTCTCTTTCGAGTTCCATTGCAACAAACGAGCTCTAGAGGATGATACATATGATTGTCATCTCTGAATCAAATCTGGAACTTCTGAGAAGGGACAGTAGTCAGTTAATTGCGAGTAAATCTTAGGACAAAAATCTCAAACTCACACAGACAGGCTCAGATGAGAAAGATCATATGCTACGATAACTTCATATGTGCGATGTGGGGACGAGAGAAGAGTGGTATCACTAACGAAGAGTCGATGGTCAGACTACGGGAGAGAAGTTCCTGTTACGTTCGGAGATCTGATGTCCTGGACCGCAACACGGACTAGTAGGCGTGACTGTGAGTGAGTTACGCAACGGTCATCACAGCATTTCATTTTGAATTTGGTGTACGTTTAACTGCCATTTTCACGATTTGAAGTATAATTATAGTCGTTTGGAAATCCAAAGACTAACTGTCATTTTTTTTCAAATGCCTACTCTACTGAACTATCTTTTGATTTTCATTAATAATTTGGATTAAAATCTGAATGAAACAATAGCTCACTTTTTTATATAATGATAATGATTGCTTAGAGTAGATTTATTCGAAGTTGAAAAAATGACCCATTACTCTCTTAACTCCACTAAGGTATAAATATAGTCTAACTAATGTTATTAATAAAACTAGAGAGAGCTTTCATGGTATAAAGTTAATCAACGCGCTAATTACCAATATGAACCTTGTTGAGATACTTGTGGAAATTTGTGTTCTGATTGACCTCTTTTCTCCTGTACTCGGGCTAAAGCAGTCTGGATTGTGGTTTTATGATTGCACAAATGACTACCAAAAGTTTTTGATTCAACGGCTCCCGACTCATATCTTTCAAAGCCATGTGATTTTATTGTTCCAAAACAACAATGAAAATTGAAAATAATCCACGTGCAAATGTCTCTAATGTCATATGTATACACTCCCATTTGAATGCCAATTACAAATCATAAATTTTGCTTCATTTCTCCCTATTTAAATCTAATTTACACTCAAAATGTACACAATGGCATTCTACTCATAATTATACCACACTTAAAGTCTATTTGACTGGATTCAAACTCAGTACTATAAAAATTGCTTATAGGTTTTAAAAAAGGCTATCTTCAATCATAGTCGCAATCTCAAACCCTCAAATTCAGAAAGTAATATTTTATTCTTCATATCCACTCTATACTTTAAAGTTCATGGCATTTTAGCTCAATAAGTTCACAAAAGTATTGCAATCATATACATCAAATAAAAAATAAACATAAAATCTTTAAACTGCTACCTTGGGTTAAAAAAATGTGATATCTCCGCTAGCTGTTTTTTAAATTGATCTTGTTATAATTAAATTTTAATTCTATCCTTGTATATAAATTTGCTTATCGGCCATAAAAAAATTCTTAGTTTCAATAGTAACTCATATTCTTATTGCAACAATCATCTCTCAAAAAAAGTTGCTGCTATATAAGTCAACACAAAAGGCATGCACATGCAAATCTTATGACAAACTACATTATTGTGATATCAAACGTAACCAGGAGAGATAATTTACAATCTTATTTTATACTAGATCTCAGCCTCCTCTAGTATTAATCATCTAAATTAAGTCATATCTATACTAAAAGTTTTCAATACGTAATGTTTCAAGAAAAAAATCAATATGAGAATCATTACATATACCGATTAACCAAACTTACATCTTCAACAATACATCTTGCATGTTCTTAGCCAAAGATACAGACATGATATTGATGTAACTAAAAAGAGGTTAAAATGAATAGTTATGTTTTTATTATATGACTAAATAGGATTAAAACTCCTCACATTTCTGAAGCTGAAAATCTATTTGCCATCTTCACGCTATTGAATCAGCTGATCACAATTGAAGCCACATCCGCATCTCCTCCTGTAGACGTCTCTGCTGCTATGCTATATGCTCCTGCTACTTATCCACCCCTGCCCTGCACTTCCTCTGGGACTTGGAATTTTTGCACGCCAATGGTCGTGGGGGCTCGGAGTGTATAGAAAGTGTTGAAATCGATTGCTACTTGTAATAACCCACCAAAGGCTAAAACTGCAGTATGGTGGTAAAAAGATCGAACCCACAGGGACAGAGGCAACACACAGAGTAAAAGTGTCACGTTTAACAGACTTTTGTAGAGTTTGAATTCTCAGGCGACTGTCACTCCCAGAAATACTGCGGTGCTCGACTCGGAGGCTCGACTCGGAAGAGGATCTCGACTCGGAGGATACTCGGAGGATGCACAGTACAGCGTAGTCACTCAACACACACACACACACACACCTGAAACTGGCAAAAGCACAACTCGGAGGTCGGTCAGGACCTCCGCTTCGGATTTCAGGGTGAAAGTGTCTCAAAAGTTCACTTAGAGGTTCTGCAGGTAGTGACTCCCACTCCGGCTTTTACTGCCCTTCCGCCAGGAACTAGCGTAGGGAACCCGGACTGGACTTCCCACTTCGGAACGAAGCCCCTTCATACGCCGTGGACGTCACCCTCGACTCACACCAAACGCAGGGGGTACAGGCCCGACTGAGAACTTAACTGAGACACAATCCAGTAACACACACACACAACCTGAATTGCAAACCAAGGCTTTACACGAAGTAATAAAACTTCACTTTGGCATTCAGGGGAAACTTCCCGTAGGAGTACAATCAGGATATGTCACTCGAAGGAGTAAGGGGGAACTGTTCAAGTCTCTAACTCGCAACCGGCTCTGAGCATCAGAAATCACCCGCAGGTGCAGATCCGCACTACTCAAGTCTCTAACCGGGTACTAGCTCTGAACATTCAGCCGAAGGCCTTCAACTACAACATACGGTAACTTCGCTATGCTGCAGCTTCTCTACGTGGTGCCAGGACCAAAATGCACAAACACGCCAAGAAAGTGAGTTCCTGATCTGCACTTCCGAAACTGGAAGAGTCCCAAGGCAAAACGCCTTGATCTACTTTATACCCTCAAAGGTCCTAACTAACACTACGCTATCCTATCTACCACTCGCAACACTTGCACGAAACCAAACTACACTACTGCACTCTGCAGATCCGGTGCTGCGCCTCCTGCGCGCCGGACTGCCTCGCTCTCTATCTCTACCTTGCCAATCTTCCGACCGGCTGCGCAACCCCAGACGCCGGAGGGCTGCAGTCACTTCCGACTCCAAGTGCGCCATAGTGTCGCGCGCACCCGACAAGAAGGATTCTAATTTCCTCGCTACTCGCCGCCGACTGCGACTGTCACCCTCCGTCAATGCCGCCGCCCGAAGCTCGAACTCCCTGAGTGTGATCTTCTCTTGAACTGCCAAATCCCAATGGGCGTATCCTTTTAGACAGTGGGTCACCCGCGTCGCCAACTCTTCTCGCGCCCGGCAGCTGCCTTCCACCTCTGCTAGCTGCAAATCCGCATCTGCGCGCTGCGCCCTCAAATCCGCGCACTCGGATTGCAAGTTGCGCAACAACTCCTCATCCTCCTTGCGTGTACTTTGACTTTCTTCTAAGGCGCGCTTCTGGCGCGCAAGCTCTTCTGCTAAGATGCAGATGTTTTGTCTCCGCTCTTCCTGCAATTCCGACTCGATCTTTGCCCGCATTAGCTCGGCATCCGCCTGGTTTTTCGTCGCCGCATCCTCCCTCTGCTGTTGCAAGGTTTGGTATAGCTTCTGTGTGACCGCCAGGTGTTGTCGGAGGGTAGTGTTCCTATCCTGCAATATTTGGCACCTAGAGGCTCAAGTGGCCACCTTGCTCCTCGTCCTGCGCTTGACAGTCTCCACGTAAGACTGCGGTTTTCCGGTACCCGAGTACTTGGATGTCTTGCGATCCAGATATCGCAGGAGTGGAATTATCTGCTCGCACAACACCCCTGTTGGCGTTTTCTGCACAGAGTCCGCTTCCTGCTCTTCCGAGCTTGTCTCATCCTCCGTTTCGAGGATTTCAGTCGCCACCGAATCCCTTGGCGACTCCCTGGAACTGTGGCACGCAGCAGCTTCCGCCGCGACTGCCGCTCCACTCCCTGCTAAAATATCCAAGGCAGTGGGGGATCCCTGTAATAACCCACTAAAGGCTAAAACTGCAATATAGTGGTAGAAAGGTCGAACCCACAGGGACAGAGGAACACACAGGGTACAAAGTGTCACGTTTAACAGACTATTGAGGAGTTTGAATTCTCAGGCGACTGTCACTCCCAGAAATACTGCAAGTGTCCACTCGGAGCGCACTCGGAGGTCGCACAGTGCAGCGTAACACACACACACACCTGAAACTACAGAAACACAACCCAGAGATCCGTTAGGACCTCTACTCAAGATTTCAGGGGGAAAGTCTCTCAAGAGTACACTCAGCGAAGCTGCGGGTAGTGACTTCCAACTCCGGCTTTTACAACACTTCCGCTAGCTTGCTGCTAGCGTAGGAAACCCGGTTTGGACTGCCTACTTCGGATCGAAGTCACTCATACGCGGTGAACAACACTTTCAACTCACAAAACGCGCAGAGAACACAGGTCCGCACTGAAGGACTCACTGAGAAACATTCCAGTAACACAACAACAGTCTATTGAAGAGTTTGAATTCTCAGGCACTTGTCATTGCCAGAAATACTACAGGGGTTACCCTCAAGGCACCTGCTGCAACGTAACCTGAATTTGCAACCAAGGCTTACACGAAGTAACAAAACTTCACTTTGGCATTCAGGGGAAAAATCCCCAAAGGAGTACAATCAGAAAGAAACACTCGAAGGTGTAGGGGCAAAACTGTTCAAGTATCTAACTAGTCACTGGCTCTGAGCATCGGCAGTCACCCGCAGGTGCAGATCCGAACTACTCAAGTCTCTAACCAATGTACTAGCTCTGAACATTCGGCCGAAGGCCTTCAGCTACAAAATGCGGAACGCTAAGTTGTAACTCCTCGTGCGTGGTGACAGAACTCAAGGACACAAACACGCAAAGGAAATGGGTTCCTGATCTGCACTTCTGATGGGAAAGAACCCCAGGCAAAACGCCTGGAACTATTTTATACCTTCTAAGTCCTAACTAACACTACACTGCACTACGCTACACTACGCTACACGCCTGCATGGAACCACGCTACACTACACTCCGCGGAACCTGTGCTACGTCTCCTGCGCGACGGACTGCCGCGCACTAACTCCCTACCCTGCCAGTCTTCTGCTCGACTGCGCAGTCCCAATCGCTGCAACGCCGCGGATACCTCCACTTCGAGGGCGGACATGGTATCCCGCGCCTTCGACAGAAAAGCATCGAGCTTCTTTG